TTTATAACATTGGCCCCATTTAATCGGCTGTAAATTTTATGGGCCAATTTATCGGCTGTAAATTTTATCGGCGTAAATAATTGGTTTCAATGTTATAAAAATTACCGTCTACAGCCGTAACGTTTACAGTCAATAAATGTTCCGGAGGAGCGACCTAGGGAAACTTTTGTTGAAGATCCAGAGAACATTTAGTTGTAGCACGGCTGTTTCACGCAATGTAAAATTGGGCCTTACGTCACGAGTTTAGCAAAAACAATTTCTGCATACAAAGTTTTTAAAAAATTTTGGCAAATAAAGTATAAAAATTAACTTTAAAGTTATGTTTTTTTTTTCTATAAACGTTTTAATCTTCGAATTAAAAAAATTTACAAAAATCTTTCTTCGTTAAATATTTACTTTAAGCGAAATAAAAATAAACATTGTTAAAATATTTTAAGGTGGTAGACCACTATTAAAATAAAATCCTTCAAAAATTATATTTTACAAATTATTTTTTTATAAGTTAATTAAAATTCACATTTTAATCACAAATCTTTTTTTTTTTTTTTTTTTAATTAACCGGTTTGAGAAATTTGGTCCCGGAAACCCCAAAATAGGGTCATTTCGTTGCGGTAAATATCTCAAAAACTATTCATGGTATCAACTTGAAATTTTTCAGACATGCTTATAATATATTAAAGAAGATCCTGTACAAAAAAAAAGATCCTGTACAAAACAAAAAAAAAACATCGACCAGTTTTTTTTAAATAAGAAAAACACTTCAAAAACAAAAAAAGAGGCATTTTTGACCATATTAGGACTTAAATATCTTTTTATCTAATTATCATAATGCAATAAAAGAGGTAGGGGACATCTGTAATAACAATAGGAACAACTCCTGAAAATTTCATAGAAATTTGTTGAGAGAATAAAGAGATATTTACCGCAGAGTCGTGAATTTTAAAGAACTGAGAAAAACACATTTAAACAAAAAAAAAACATAAAATTCTTCAAATAAAAATAAAAAACACAGAAAAAAAGCCTACAAACAAATATTATCTTATTATAAAAGTGTTGTGGAGTAAAACTAAAGCAAAATTAAAATAAAATTTTTTGAAAAAAGTGATAGTATTATAAAACAATACTATTATCCAAGTAATACTTTAATTTGAAAAAAAAAAAAATTCTTTTTATTTGCAATTTAGTTTTAATTTTTACTCTTACCAACTTAATGTAAATATCTGTTTGGAATAAAAAAACAAAAAGTAAATATATATTAAAATTCTCCAGCACCATAACATAAACTCTCTTCTTCCTCATCTTTGTCCAAAAATCCTTTACGAATACTCCGTAACTGCTTTCGCCTGCTTTTTGTTTTTTTGTTACACTTTTTTTCATATTTTTAACTCTTTTCAAATCAGAAGATGCAAAAAAACTTGAAGAATAGTGTCCTGGTTTTAAATAAAGTTTTTCAAAAACTCTAATAATACCATTAATCCAGCCGATCCTTTGTGATCAATCGAGCAAACATGATTGTCTTTAAATGCCATATATTTTGGTGAATCTTGGTGTACATTCCATTACTCACAAGATTTGCACTTCTTAGAAAGTATGCGATAGTCTATACATTTTCCATTTGTTTTGCTTATTATAGTAATAAATCCATTTAGTGATGAGTATCCTCTATTTTGCCAAGCTCCGTCCCCTGAAATGTCCTTATCAACTACTGTACAATCATAATTTTTTTTCAAACTAATTATTCTTACTTCTTTAGCATTCATGCTAGCTTCGGCAATGTAATTGTAAAAGTTGGCAACTTCTTCACTTAATGAGTTAAAAGAAGATTTGTTCATAGGATCAGGCATATTCATTAAACCGCAAAATTTTTTTTTATACTAGAGCATCCTTTACCTATTTCTCGAAAAGCTAATATAATTCTTAAATTAATGTCAAAAGTTTTTGGACCGGTTGTTACTGGTTTGCTTATAGTTTTTACTTGAATAAAATTTTTGTTTTCATTGGCAAGATCCACATGAAATAAATATACAGTGTGATAAACCTTTTTTAAGTTTAGCATCATGGTTAAAAGTAACATTTGCAGAACATTTTGGACAGCAGCCAATGGTAGTTATTATTTTTTCTAAAATGTTAGTGTTCATAAAAATATAGCAGTCATTGTACTGATCACCATCAGCAGAAAAAATATTTTTATTTACAAAATTATTATTTACAATATCTACAGAATATTTAATACTAGAACTCGATGACATTATGTTCATTTTTTTTGCTGAGCTACATTTGAATTGTAATACTTGTAAATTAGATAGATTTTCTTCAGCTACAATATTTGATGTTTTATGTTGGTTTCCTCTGAAAAACCTATGTTTTTTGCTATACCTTATTTTATTTGTTTTATCTTTATTTCCCATTATTTTAATAATTATTTAACCAAGGTATGATCCAAGGTAAGAACACAGAGAATAAGCCAAAGATTGATGTGGTTGTTGTTAAGTGATTAGAC